CAGGCTGGATGTGGTTCTCGCCCCCCAGCGAAAAAAGCCTGCCCACTCCCACTCATAATAACCCACCGCAGAATTACGGGTTTTTTGTAGTTGAAGACCAGCCAGCTTCACTAATGCAAGCTCCGATTTGTGTGAATGTGTGTTTGCATGCCTTCCAGCGAGGTGGGATCCCACCGACGAGCAGCGCATCAGCAGCGTGCCCTTGATTTGGATGAAGGGCAGCATTTCTACTGGAGTTAAGCAGCCTTCTCCTACTTTGTTACCTTTAGCTTTAAAACGACGCCACACTTGCCAAGAATCAACCTCATATTCTCCGAGCTTGTTAAAAAGTACGCCGGAACTTTGATTACCTTCCAGGTTTGGGATTTCACCTTCAACTCGTTCGACCCGCAAATCAAAAACTAGCCTTCGCGTTTGAATCGAGGAGAACCGCTGCATTTTTAATACCTCTCAAGACATTACTTTTCTTTGGAAAAAAGAAGACAAACATCCCTGTTCTCTCCTCGATAGAGGTAGAGAAGCGTGTTAACAGAATTTAGTAGATGGCTGTCATGCCTGGAGTGTTGAGTTTCTAATAAAATAACCGCCACAGTCGCTTCTGGCTGTATGAACTGCGTTTATGGCGTCCCTCTCTGGGTGGAATGTAAAGCAAGTTAAAGACGTCCCCCAGACATTTTTTGTTATATGTAATAATAATCTGTGTCTGATATGGGTTTTCAAATTGATTTCATTTGAAGAAAAAATGTCCTTCCTCACTTACATCCCTCCGTCCACTTTTGCTGTCTCACTGGAAAAACTCCAGAATCTATGAATATGCAAATATTTTTTAATTTCACAAGTTTAACTGCAGGACATGAGATATCTAGCCGCTCTCACAGCTTGCGCACTGGAAGCTTCGGGTTTCCACGGAAAGATTCACATTGGACCATGATAGCATCCAAATCAGCAGGGATGCTATGAAATCATGCACGTCTAAAGGCGAGACATGCATGCATCTGTCCATTTTGTGCGATTTTGCTGCCATAACATAACAGTCTGGTGGGAAAGAAAACATTCAAACTGCACGTTTAGGCATTTAGTTTACTACATTTTGTGTATTTGACATGCATGCAAGTGAGTTTTTTTTAAATATGAAATGTCAGAAAGCAATGAAATACATAAAATAACTGTTAATGTAAGTAATGAATTGGTAAGTTCCAGTTGTGATACCTAATAGTTTACATTTTTATCCATTAATAGTGGTTTTTCTCTTATTTTCGGTCAGAAATCTTAACTTTCGTGACTCTTACATACACCAGTCTCTCCATCTATGTGCTGAAGATTTTTACAGAGCAGTTTGCATCATTTACATAATGTTTTGTCCCTACAAACACTCCTGTTGCAGTGTTTTCTATTTTATGGAGTGATAAAGAGATATCCAACATCCCTGCTGTTAAAACTTTGGACTCTAATATGTCATGAAAATAAAGCCAAAACTTTTCACCAAGAAGTTTTCACATCTATTCTGGAATGCAAATGGGGACAGTTTGAGACGTATAATGCCTCATTTGCATGTATAGAAATAACATTTCCGAAAACTTGTAATACAAAAAACCATTGCATTGTTGGATGTAAGCGCCAATAGGGAAGTTTTATGTTGATGTCTGTCAGTGCTAAATTTGACCCTATTCATCTCTAGTGTCTCAAACTGGCACACAATTTGCACATTGATCAAACATCCAAATCAAGCTACAATTAGAAAGGTGCACTTTTGAGTGAAGTGGGACTTTACTATTTCCGTTAAGTCACTAATCCCTATCAGATAAATCTCTATATGGGTATCAGAAATATAAACCGTGGCTATCTGAAGTTCTCTGTGTGCTTTCTGTTTGGTTTGGGGACAGCATCCCACAGCCGTCCTCAGCACATGGACCTTGCTCCGTTTGTCATTCCACACCTGCTGGTTTTCTCTCTGTGCTGTAATAATAGCACATGGCTAAATTTCTGGTTCCCGTTGCCAGCAGTAGCGTTAAAGCTCTCCGATTATTCCAAACCTGTGCCACATTTTCCATTTTCCTGTTCTTAACGTTCTGGCAATTCATTGTGTAACCAGCCGCTGTCATGCTTTCCTACCTCCGGGTGCTACTGGAGGCAGTTGCAAGGAGTGCTTTCTCTATAATGCAACACTTGGCCTATAAAATCTCCAACAGCTGAAAGGAAGAAGTGCTTAAAATATCCATTTGACAGAAAATCGTTCAGTGCAGCAGCACATATATTTGACTTAATGTGGATCTTAGGGATTTGAGTAATTATCATAATTATTACGTATTTCAGCGTAAAATGGAATAAAAAAAATCAGCTTCACCTGTGCTCTTGTTTTATAAATAAAAGGAGCATCTAATGTGTAACTTTCAAACTCACTTTAACAGCTCATGCAGTGGCTCCATGTTTGATGTTTGCATCCCCAGCTGAGTTCTCTTTTCATGTTTCTATAAATACATTCCTGTGCACCATTTCCTCTCTTCAAATTCAGCATTGTCTTGCAGAAGACAAACCATCAGAGTGGAAAAACTCGTTTTTTTTCTTCTTCTTCTTTTCATGTAATCATGAAACAAAATAATCTAAGCATATTTCATCAAGAAACCCATAATTAAGGTAATGAGGTTTTTTTTTCTTTTACACAGCATTGAAATATGCCCGGCACAGGGAACGGCGTAATTCGCTGTGGTCCCTTTTTTGAATTTGTAATTAATGAGCTCATAGGCGCTTTTCCCGCTTTCAGCCCACTGCTCTCAACAAATTGCATGATCGTTTACTTAAGAGCACAATATTATGTTGTCTGGCAGTTGATTTGACTTGAGAATGATGGAAGGGTTTTTTGATGAGGCCGAATGAGTAGATGTTGCATCTTTGACTGAAAATATTGCAGAACTCCTTTGAAATAACACGTTCATCCAAACAAATACAGACCTGGTACCAGAGTATCTGCACACTGTGTGTGGTTTCTGTGTTTCTGAATGTTTTACCGATGGCATTTTGAGTTGACATGCTGATCAGACATACGTTCTGACGTCTAACATTGATTGCAGTGTTCTTGAAGACATACTTAAGAAATACTTTAAGAGTAAATTAAGTCATTCTTGCTTTTAAATTGCACAGTACAGACGCAAAAGTTGTTATTTAAATGTATGAAATGACCTAAATGTTTCAGTTTACTTTACAAGAACATGCAACAGGCTTCTGTTTGTCAGAAACAAGAGCTGGAAAACCTCTTAAGGAGCAGGTGGGGGTGGATGAATAGGTCAACAAAGCACATGACTTCAACATTGGAGGCAGTTTATTTTGTGAATCATTTAACCAACAATCTCTACCAGAAGTAGTAGATTAAGCTGCCTAAATTAAACCAAACCTTAACTATAGCAGGTGGTAAACAAACAGTGGTCAACTGGAAAACAGTGTCCGAGTGTTTTAGTTTGCAAATGGAATTATAAATCTCTACATACAAAAACTTTGATATTAATAGATAAACTTTATGAACCAAGTGATGATGTATAAATGTTGAGTTCTTGAAAGACAACACAAACAATAGAGCCTTGAATGGAGGACTTTTACAGCCATCCATTACGTTCAAGCCCTTGGCAACAGCTTCAAACAGCACTATCAGTCTCAGCTAAATCTCTTTGTATTTCGCAGTGTATCTAAGTTTTCTGTGGTGACATTCCTGTTTTGGCATCCCACAAGCAACGCATGTTAAGTCAACCAGCAATAATTGCAAAGCGACGTGGATGATTACAGCAACTGAGTGTGGTGAAGAAACTTCAGAAGCATTCAAGAGAGGTTTCTAAACCTACAGATTAAAAAAGTAGCTTAGAGGATGGATCACACTGTTGAAAAAGTAAGAGATTGAGGGCGAGGCAAACATCATAATCACATGTCAGCAGTGTCAGTGTAATCATTCTTATTGCCAAAAGGGGGAGACAAATGAAAATAAAAAGTCTGTTTATGTATAGTTTTTAACATGATTGTGTTTTTTAGCAAAATTGTCAACATCTCAAGCTAACGTCTCAAGTTACATCACCAAAGAACTCAAATGTGAGCTCCACGGTGCATCCAGATCAGCTCCAATTTCGGAAACTTTCCTCCACTCGGTCGCTCCGCTCACTAAATCTCAGCTCATTTTTCCAGGTTGAGCGGCTCCAGTCGAACCGCAACTCATTTGTACCGAAACAAGCCTCATCCCTTTGAGTATTTCCGAGCGTGCAGAGATAGAAAACCTCTCTGATGCCACTTTGAAGACTAGAACCAATTAGGGAATCATTATAATGAGGAGCCTCTAAGTGCACGTCTTTTGTTACTCAGCAGCTGTCTAATTGGAGTTGGTGTGTTCGGAAGCGAGTTGGGACGAAGGCTGTTCTATTGTAACCTGTGATACGCTTTAAAACCAACCGTTTGCTCGCGGTTGACATGTTGACAGTTCATGTATATCACATTGCTTGTATGAAAAGATTTAAAGTTATTATTTTTTACTGAAACCGTGAGACTTTCCGGTCTTTAACGCTGCACACGGCTGAAAATCTGCTCCATCTCTTCCAGCAGATCCTAACCTTCCTGCATGCCCACTGCAGCTGTGAATGATTTTCACCTTAGGGTATACTGTAGATTCAAAAAATGGTTGACTAGCTGCTACTGTATATGCTGCACTGTTAGTATTGCAGTCAAAGCCATATCATCGCTTACACAAGGAGTGAATAGCATTAGTAGCGAAGCAGCTGCTGCTTTGAAAGTATGTGCATTGATGTTTCCAGCTTTGAATGGATAATTCTGAGTCATAGTAATTTATCCCCTTTTTTCTCTGGCCACTCTTTAAATATTATATTTCCATGTGTTTGTTCCCATTTTAATGCAGCTTTTATTGTAGTCTTTAATGAATAAATCATACTCCCACAGTCCATCGGGGGAGAAAGATGTGGAATTTAATGTGCTCTCTTCTTTCTTTTCTTTTTCTGTTTGTCTTCTCGCAGCTCCCCTGACAGACAAGCCGCCAAAAATCCTTTTCCCTTCAGAGAACCAAATGAGCATCATAGAGATGGCAATAGGTAAGGAAACATGTTTCATTCCTCCACAGGGATCGCTTTATTTATTTATTTTTTTTCTGTCTTTCAATGGCCCGTGCAGTGTCATACTTGTGGCATATGCTTGCTCGTCACAGTGGCATTGCTTCAGATTTCTCGATTAGTCAACCGAAGCCAATTCGCCCAAAGTAGGTCCTGTTCTACTTAACTGTGGCTTTGTTCTGAGCGATAAACTGCCAGTGCCTTGCTTGCCGTGCATATGTGGTGGAAGTTTTGGGGTCAGATGTAATGACCAGCAGGGGGCGACTCCTCCGGTTGCAAAAAGGAGTTGAATTGTATAGAAGGTTTGAGAAAATAATACAACTTTTCACTTCTAAGTTAACGTTTTTCCAATGAGTTATTGTCTCAATCACTAGTTTCAATGCTTTTTGGAGACTTAACTTTATTGGAACCGCTTTGTTGCCATTCTCTTGTTGTCGTTTTTTTTAAATGACACCATCGTTGATGCTTTGACCGCATAGTTACCCCGACATTCCTGCATATTTAATCCAATTGAATTAAATATTGATGACAGCATGATGTTAACTTTATAAATAGTGGTCTCATTTTAAATAAAATAGATGATAAGGTAGCGCACGGCTTCCTTGCGGTTGATAAGTCGCACCGTATTGCTGTGCATAGTGTTCTCTCAAATTTTAGTTTTTTCAAGTTTTCTGTCAAATTCCGGCTTTAAAAACGGTAAATCCACCAACAACTGGTGATTTCACAGTGGCTACAGCTAATTTAATATGCAGACTATGTACTCAACCGTCTCTAGGAGCAGAAGTACTATTTTCATTCAATAATTAACTGTAATCACTTCAACTTTGCTGGGTTTTTTTTTCTATTATTGTTAAGCTGATGATGAAATATTAAAAAAAAAAAAAAACATCTTGCACAAGCTTTTCCCATAAGTCTGCTTCCACTGAGTGTTAACTTTCACTGACAGTGATCAAATAATCAGCTAAGTAGAAACAATTAGTTCTTGAGTCTTGCCCGTCAACTGGAGTCTAGCAAGTGTCACGTTTTCAAAAATGTGATATTCCAAATATTTCATGCACAATCTGCCGCATAACACGTGCATGACAGCACTGTTAGACGAAACCAGTTGCTTTTCTGCAGCTTGGACTTTGAATAATGTCTCTTTGTGATTCACCTGTTGCCTTCATCGAGGTGCGATCGAGGTTTGTTGTGGAACCAACAAACCCTCAGCTTGTAATAGCATATGTAGCGTTGCGACGTTTCCAGCAATTGAGCTGTATTGATTTCAAATACCATCCTCTAAGTTTCCTTTTTGTTTTTGCTGCTGCACAGATTTGACATAAAGCATCCGAGCAGTGCAAGATTTCCAATTGGGTCTCTTTACTTTCTGTGTCCTTTTGTGAATGGACCTTGAGTTTTCATCAGAAAAGGGTTCGAGGGAAAACACGATGAGTCATTAATCACACCTGTGCATACACATGAAAGTGATTCAGTCGTATGAAGGCTGCTGTTTTTCCTCCTCCCGTCCTATAATATCTCCTCATTGTCTTTACACTTGTCTATCTTGCTTGTTTTGTGCAACACGGATGCAGCTTGTGATTGTTGAGCCGTAATGACTCATAATTCCTCCTCGCGTCGTCTTCAAATTTACGACGCTAGCGATACTTCAAATGATCGCCTCCGACTCGGCCTCACGCGGCTCCCTCCCAATCTTTTGCTTCTGATACACAGGGGCTCATGGGAAAATTCCCGCTTTGTGCCTTATTGGGCAAAAGCTCAGCTGTTGGTGGAAGAGAAAATGGGTCATGATGGAGGCTTCCTTTGAAGTAAATTTGTCATGGGCGATGAACACAACTGGCTCGCAGAGGTAAAAGGTGGCAATCAGGAAATAGGTGCAAATCATTGTAGCTTTAAATTGATAAAAGCCTCTGTGACTTCTTTTTTTTTTCCCCCTCATCTGATTACGTTTTCATCGTGGATAATGTTGTTTTTTAAAAACTCTATTACTTGATAGCTGTGAGAAAGAGCAATAATAGATCTCTGCTTGTTTTTCCTGTATTTTTACGCCCAATCAGAGCTTTTAGATTCTCTGCTCTATCAGACTGAATTCAAATCTTGACTTTCGCCGGATGAGGATTAGTAAGAACCTTGTGTTTTTTATGCTCCTCCTACGATCTGTGCGCCCTTTGATATTCCACACAGAGTCAGCAGCAGCTCTGTGTACATAATATATGAACACCTATTTGATTCTCTGCCCGTACAAGCTCCTATCACTTCCTCTCAGCGTTGGGCTGCTGTTGCTCTTGTCATCCTCGGAGAGCCCAGTCATACAGCGGCGTATCCTTTCAGGGTTGTGGATGTTTCGCTTTTTTTTTAATATTCTTTTTCCTCCGCGAAATGTAGAAGCACAAATGGCTTCAGCTGACAGTTAATTAGGCAGGTGAGAGGGAGAAAGCGGCAGGAGTGGAGGAAAGGCGAACGTGGAGAGACACTTCTCAAGCTCTTGTCGTGGAACTCAAGGGAAAGAACGGAGAGAACAGAGGGATCTTTAAAGGAGGGGGGGGGCCCAATTAATCAGCGCGCACTTTTCATCGTGGCCCCGCGCTTTCTTGTCTCCTAATGGACGGGGTTCCTCAGTTTTAATTGATTGAATTCAAAATGCTTGATTAAAACACGTTGTGTAAACGCTCCGCCGTGCCCTCGGTGGGCTCGTGCTTCCACTGTTCTCTCTCTGTAGGACAAATCAGATACAGTTCGGATGTGTAATTCAGTCTGACACTTCGCTGCACACTGCTTTCTCTCCGTCTTGTGCACATGTAAAATAATTGACTTGCAGGACCTACTTGGAGTTTGCAGAAGGCTACTAATGCGTGCAATTTGCGAACCCTTTGACAACTGGGTGATTAATTCCCTAAACGCTCGAACATGTTTGTGTTGTTTCTGTGGAGGAAACTTCTTGCACACACACTTCGAGCTGCTTCTTTAGCTTGCGTTGTGCTGCTGCTGCTGCTGCTGCTGCTGCCAGCCTTGATTTGTGAGAATGCTGTTTTCCATGCAGAGCTAGCGCGTCACTCGCGGCCTCACTTGCCTACCTATCCTGACATTTTATTTGGGGCGTAGATTGAATTTACGACCGTTGTGGCGCCTCTGTTTGCGATGCCCGCTCGGGGAATGCCCACAAAGTTCCCCCCTGAGATCTTGATTGGCTGTTAAAACTTCAATCCCTCTCAACCGCCTCCTTCCTCGGGATATCACACTTCATCCCCCCCGACACTTGACATTACGACACCGCGGCGAGTTTTCTAAAATTGCAGCCGAGAGAAAACAAGGTGATGGGAGCCTCCTCTCTAAATTCCTCCTCGATTCGCTCGCAAGGTCACAAATGGATGCTTTAATTTAAGAAGCAATCCACCTTTGGCAACCGTTCTGCATCATCAATCTGTGATATTCATGCTCCTCGTGAGTTGTTTTGTGTGGGAGTAATTAAATTGATTGTCATGGTGCGTTCACTTTTCCAACACTTTGTCTTGTTTGTACCTCAGTTCGTGATTAGCTTTGTTTCTCTCTGTGTTTTTATGGAGCCCTTAGGGGATGGAAGAGAATCTGTGGTTTGCAGGTGCTCGACAACAAATTATGAATGCAGCAAAGAGTCAAAAGTCAAGGATGCGTCCCGACAGTAAAAAAAATCGGCCTTTTTTACTCGATTTGGGATGCTGTCCAGGGACAAATGAATGTTTCTGCGTCTTTTAGAATAGATCTCTCCCTGTGTGATTATGTGATTGTACATTCTGACTTGTTTTTTTTCCTCTACGATACTAAAACTAAGAGTGTTTCTTCATTTAGAAGCTGGTTTAGAAGGAACGTGGACACCCACACATAGTACTACTGTGTAGTTGTTTCATTGTTCGACTTGGCCCCATTGATGTGCATTCATTTACCGAGGAGCGGCAAGAACCATTTTCTCAAACTGTAACATTTTTCGAACACCTGTTCACTCCCACTCGTGTTCCTCCATTGACTTTGCAAGCAACAAGCTGCATTTTGCTTCCCGTTGTGTCTGAACACACCTACTCCCAATTAACAGCGCACAAAGCCAGGCCTATCATAAACAAGCTTTCTCTTATTTGATGTGGAGGAAGTTGACGAGCCTTTTAACCTTATTCAACACTTTTGAGGTTGAATTTGATTGCAGGTTTTATCACCCAGAAATCTATGGTCCACCTCAAAAATGCTCTGGTGGCTAAATTAGGGAAAACAGGGGCAGACCAGCAACTCAGGAATTTGCAGCCCCAGTTCAGTTGACTAAATGTTTGTTGATCAAGGAATCATTCATCTAAAAAGGATGCAAAATGATCAGCCTTTTCATGGTTTTCCTTTTGTGTTCGCATGTCCAAAAGGCACAAATGTAAAGTTAAATTAATGCAATGATCAGCTGAGCTTCTTTTATTATCAAAATCACTCATAATATTGCAACAAGCTTCCCATAGATTCTATTTATTGTAATACAATTAACAATTATTAGCTTGAATGAAGCCCAGACATCACGTGAAAGATGTATTCTATTCTAATTTACCTCAGTCACACAGTAACGTCCCAACTCCTCCATCGTTTCCCTTCTTTTTCAGAGACATGTTCACCTGTCACAAGTCTGTCAAGTTTTATATGTCTTATATACAATAATGTGAGCAAGAGTTGTGAGTAGTCTCGTGTTTACGTCTCTATTTTTCCCATTTAAAGTTCAAGCTGATGATAGTTTTTCAAATACTTCAGAGAAATTTTGTGATTTTGAGTCTCGCAGATAAACCTTGGAAATGGTCGAACCTGCAGCGGGAACTCCAGCGAGGTTAATAAAAACATTTATTTAGTTCATTTCACAGCGCAGGACATGTAAACATGACAAAGCAGCCGCTTCCTGCTCACTCCTCTCTGATGTTTCCGACTTTTCACCGCCGTCCTCATCACCACCTGCAGGCTTCTTTAATAAATCTCTTCTATCTCAGCAC